CAAAAAAGTTGGCCAAGGGCTAATCACTTATTTGCCTTGTATTTTTACTGCCATGAAACTATTTCTGCATGTGTCAGTCCAAGGAGACATTCACTGCCACTTAAAAAGTGAAGGATGTGAATGAGGATATGTAACTGTTTCAGTGAATAGATTTTGTGAAGTGCCTTCTGTTTTAGCACTTTAAGTTTATCATTTTGTTGACTTCTGACATTCCACTTTCCTAGAGTACAGGAAAGATCTGTTTATGTAGTTTGTTTTTAAAATGTGCCAATGCTTGTACATTAACAAGATTTTTAAAAATAAAGTTGTATAAAGTACTTATTTTATTGAGTTTTGGGGGGGAATTTGATACATCTCCATTGTATTACAATTGAGCCATTAATCTTGTAGCTTCATCAACATTAACTGGTTCATTTTCATGATGCTGCTGATTCTGAAGGGAGAAAAGTATATTTAAACATTAAATAGCAGTAAACAAAAATGATTTTACATAATCTTTTATCAAGTTTAATTTCTTCCAGTCATACCTTGAGAAGTAAAACAAATTCTTATTTAGACAAAAATGTTTTGAGAGTGTGAATATATTAAACATATTATGAATATACTAAACATATTATAAAGGCAGGTATAGTAGAAAGCCAAGTACTGAAAATTACATTTTACTCACATTTCATGAAAGTTTTATTAGCCATCAATGTGTCAGCCACAACAAAAGAAAATGCTGTCTACTTACCAGCTCTTTCTCCAGTGGTTCAAGAGTAAGCATTTTTGAGAAATTTGCAAGTTCCTTCTGAATGTTTACAAAAGCATTATTCATTCTACGAATTTTTTCATCATTTACAATGTTTATCTGTTAAAAAATATTAATCCACAATTTTACAGCCATTAAAGATAAAATGTATTCATCTTTAACTGTTACACCTAAAAATCTGCAAACCTGCAACTCTATCAATCGTGGGGACATTTCATGCTAAAGCTATCATCTTATTAGAAAATTTTAGTCAAAAGATTTTAGGTTTTTAAAAATAATTATGTGGACATGCCTCACACCTAGAATTAAGCAAGCCAGAATACATGACCATAGTCCTTCAAGGTTACTGTTATCCCTCATCTGGATCAAATGCTTTTAGTCTTCTAATAGTACATCCCTAAATCCTTCTTTGACCTTCTTAATTTAAAGTCCCAGGTAGCCTTCCTCTTTTGAGTCTTAAGAGGTGGTTTATATTCACTGCTACTACCAAGCAATTTTTTTCACAAGCCATCTTAAGTAGATACTATTTTGTATTTATATAGCACCTTCTTTAAGAACCTTAAATGCTTTACAGACATTATTTCCAGTTAATCCCCACAACAACCCTGTGAGGTAGGTACTCTTCCCATTTTACAAGACAGGACAAACATAAGGAAAGACAGAAATGGAAGTGCTTGTATTTTGACAGTTTAAACCAAATTGTGGAATTTAAAGCTGTTGTTTACAGCTTTCTATAGAGAGGAATGGGGTACAAATGAAGCAGAGTTAGTTTTAACATCAGCTAGCCCACAGAATGTATAAGATCAAATTTCCTCATAAGGTCAACATTGAAGCTAACCAGTTCTTGTCCGACTAGGTTTGCAACCCCGAATCATAGAAAGAATCAAATTCCTGAACCGAGGTACCACTGTAAATTAAGTCCTACTTTTAAAGTCACATGGTTTCTGTCTTGGAAATTTGACCAATTACAGGAGCCAGGAGGCTTAGGAAAGGGGAGGGAAGGAGATGTGCTATATGGGTTTTGTGGCTTATAACCATCAATATAGGATGTTTTCTTTCTTTGATGGTGGTAAAAAAAATCTCACTTTCATAACCACATTTGTGGTTGTGACTCTGCAATGCTGGCAGATCAGGCAGGTTATGTGTAATTTGTACAAAACTATTCTCGGGACCAGGGATGTAGCTTAGTGGCACCGCGCCTGCCTCGCAAGCACAAGGTCCTGAGTTCGATCCTGGTACCAAAAAACCCAACAAAACAAAAGGTCTAGTCTGTACAAAACAACTCTCAGTAGGCTAAGAGAAGCTGTATCTTAAAAACAAATTTGTCAAAATATTGTTGGTATTCAGTGTATATACCAAATATAATTTTCTCCCAGCACATATGTCTAAGCAGCTCAATTAGCTAAGTGACACTATTAAAGATCTGTTACGGAACAAAGAGATGAGGTCATCTCCTGAGCTAAAAGATGTGGGTAATACTGTAGTCATAATAACCCTAGAAGCCTGGACCATAGCTAAAACCCTGAAGATTACATTTTGATGAAGTAACGCCCCCCAAGCCCTTTTTCCCCCTCTGACTTCATAAACTGATTGGAAGAGCATTCAGAAATTTGTGTTTCAGATTTCATTTTGCTGGGGGTTTTAAGACGTAATATATATAATGTAAAATATAAGTAAACCATTGCAGTTAATATTCTTACATGCATCAGTAAGTTGTGTGGCAGTGGCCAAATGTAACTTGCAGAAAAAACAATAGCAATCTTCACTGGGTAAAGCATAAAACATTGGATGTTTCTCATCAAAAGGCACTAGTTTTCTTTTTAATTCTCTAATTTTCTAGTTATTTTACTAAAATTTGACAACAAAAAAGGGATGTTTCTTGTACCAAACAATTTCTCCTTTCAAAACCTTCCGCTCCTTTGCACACTATCCATGATACTATGCATGGTCCTCCTTCCTTGTTGCTGTCATTCACCAACATGATTATTTGCTTCTTTGTGAAAGATTTCAAATCTCGGCTTACTGACTTGACTTAGTGACTTCAAAAATCTAAGCCCCTTAATCTCCTGAGGTCTTCATGTCCTGGGATCTTCTCCATTACCTGACTCAGCCAACTACTATGGAGTACCTTCTGCACCATCACCACTCCTTGTTTACTTAGTTCATTAACAATTTTTGAATCTCACTGAAACCTTTTCTCACCAATCTATTTTCCATATCTTTATATCCCACTCTAACCTTTAGCCAGCACAGATTTCATGACCATCATTTAATCATTTCTTTACACTCTTAACTCACTTTCCTTCTCTTCTTTTATCAAACTTGCCTGGCAACCTGGTTATACCTCAGCTACCTCTTTTCTGAGCCCAGAACTGAAGCTGGAGAATCATACATAACTGGCTGACAGGCTTCACTTCTACATAATGGCTGACAATCTTATGACCTTGCCCTGCTAAGCTCACTTTATGAGAAAGGTATAGTATTTGATACTTTATTCAACCATGCTGCCTATTCAGATCCCTTAATCTCTCTCTCTTAGATAAGTATAAAGGTTCTAATACCACAAATGCACCAAGCTTTTCCCTAGTTTGTGGCCTCTGCACTTGCTACTCTATCTAGAACATGCTGCTCCCAACTCAAGTCTGCATTACTAGCTCATTCACCATCTCGGCATGTGTTATATATGAAGACAATCCTACATGAAACTCAACTCCAAACACCTATCATAACACCTAGCTCTTTTCCTTTATGGCATTTACAAAGTCCTAAAACTTGAGCACCAAAAAACTTCGCTAGTTGGTAAGTTAAAGCTGAAATGTCACTTTTCTATGGATTACAATAACAATTAGGACTCCTGGAAAGCTGACTCCACCCACTATTTCAATTTGAAAACATTTTCTTAAAGAATATTAAAAGAACCTACTTAATCTTGAAGAATTTTCTTAAATATTTTGAAATATAAAGATAATAAACTTCAAATTCTGCATTTTAAGAAACAGTATTTCATCTTCATTTTGCAGACTTATTTTTAGTATATGTGCTGCCAAAGTGAGCACTTTTTTTTCTTCCAGTACCGGAGATCGAACTCAGGACCTTGCGCTTGCAAGGCAGGTGGTGGAACCACTGAGCTAAATCCCTGGCCATTTCTGCAGACTTTTATTTGAGTTCCAGGATAAGAATTAGAGAAAAAGAATTGGTGCTGGCTGACATTCCATGCCTTGGCTCTGTCAAAAGTTTCTTGAATATATTTGAGTTCAGAGACAAGAACTGTTTTTCATACTATGAGGTCTTTTTTTTTTAATGCTTTCTATGCTATAATAAAGCTGTTAAACTAGTATATGGTACCTTACACATTTGCACTTAAAATGCTTTTTTCTTACATTTCAGTTCAAGAAAGGGAGGATTTTTTTCAACTTTAAAATGTTTAAAATCATCTTGTTTTGTAGAAAGGCTAATAACTTTTGGGTTAAACAACTTTTAGGTTAAACAATCTATTGGATTAAACAATCTTAACTGGATTCTAATCCAGTTGTACAGTAGCTTTACCACTATGCTTTCCTTGTGGTGTTTAATAAAACTCACCTTTTTAAGATTAGTGGTGACTGGTTTTGCTTTGTTTTTGGACTTAAAGTTCTTTTGGCTGGCTATGTGAAATACATTCCTGGACTTCTGCCCTCTTAATTTGTTCTTGGCCATTGTCTAGGAAAGAAAGAAAAGATCAATTAAGCTGCCTATGTTTAAGAACTAAATTTAAGTTTTTAAAGGATAGGTATTAAGTTTAAGAAACCCCATCTTACTCCTGATTTGGGTAGGTGGAGGTGCCAATTCTGAGAATTGAACCCATGGCCTTTTCACTAAGCTACATCCCCTAGGCATGCATATAGCTATATCTATATCCATATCTTTTTTTTTTTTTTTTTTTCAATTTTGAGACAAGATCTCACTATGTTGCCTAGGTTAGACTTAAACTTTCGATCCTCCTGCCTCGGCCTCCTGTGCAGCTGGAATTATAAGCATGCATCACTGTGCCTCACTACTCTTCATTTTGTTGTTGTTTTTTCCCTGGTACTGAGGATGGTACTCAGGACCTTGAGCTTGAGGCAGGTGTGGCACCACTGAGCTATGCCCCTGGCCCCTACTCTTGACTATTTTTAAAGCTGATAAATGTACTACATTATTTCTATTTAAAAAAAATTTTTTTTGGTACCGGGGATCGAACGCAGGACCTTGTGCTTGCGAGGCAGGTAGCGGAACCACTGAGCTAAATCCCTGGCCCTATTTCTATTAAAATTTAATCTTACTAAATATTTTACTCATTAATTACAACATATTTATCTAATTCTTTAATGCATCGCCAATATCTGGGCCATCAAAGGTACCTAATTAATGTCTACTAGTGAAATTCACACTGATAACAGCAATAACTGTTTTTCTCTGCAGTATCTAACAATGAACCCTTACTGACCATCCTGCTAGTCTATATACCATTACATATGCCTGGTTCCTAAGTATGTTATTCAGCTTTCTACCACTGTAACAAAAAACCTGAGAATAGCAACCTAAAGGAGTAAAGATGTATTTTGGCTTACAGTTCAGACTGTGGTCAGCTGATTCCATTGCTGTGGGCCTCAGGTGAGGCAGAAAATCTTGAAAATAGTGTGGTACAGCAAAGCTGCTGACCACATAGGAGCCAAAGAAGGAACTAGGGACCAGATACAGCTCCCAAGCTCATGCCCCTATGATCCCTTCACCTTTAGGATTTACCTCATTTCTATCACCTAATATCAAATTACAACTCATCAGTGAAGTTAGAGCCATTACAACCCAATTACTTCCCAAAGTCCCTCAGCAGCTGTGCATGGTGGCACATGCCTGTAATCCCAGCACTTGGGAGGATGACGCAGGAAGATTGCCATGAGTTCAAGGCTAGTCTGAGCTACATAGCGAGACCTTGTCTCAAAAAAAAAACAAAAACAAAATCCCCTCAGCAACCAAGTCTTCAACACAGTGAGCCTTTTTGAGTGTGTGTGGCGGGGAGCACTTCGGATACCAGGCCTAATACTATCATAGTTTAGGGACTGCCTCTATCCCTTTGACTTCTCATTTCTTTTTACTCCCTACTCTCTCTCCTGTGCATCCCATCAAAATTAATCCTTAATCCTGCATCTAATCCCATAAACCATAGTTTCCACATTATCTCCATGTAAATTGGTCTTACCCCAAAAACTTAATTTTCTTGTTTTGTAACTAAATACATACTAATCATGTAACATCTACATTAGAAATACCTCCCAAATCTGTTTTTAATAATGCATGTGAGAAAAATTCTCATTTTACCGATAAAAATGATTTAGAGAAATGAATCTGCCTCATATCACATTTGGTAACCACAGATGCCATGATTGAAAGCCACGTCAACTAGATCAGAGGTCATGTTATGGGATACTGCCTCTCATGTACAAATAAAAAATTCCAAACCATGGTGTACAGTATTGTCTAGTTCAGGCATGGGTTACTCCTGCAGTCCTTGAGTCCATCTGTTTAGACCACGGATTGGCAAACTATGCTCCATGAACCAAAAAGGACAGGTGCTTCTCTTAGTATTTACTGTATGCTCACTCAATTATGCCTTGTCAATAGCTGCTTTCCTGTTAAAAGTATGGCCTACACAGTCAAAAATATTTACTGTCTTGACCATTTATAGAAAGCTTGTCAACCCCTTGTTTGAGCCACTGCACAATGGCTATCTTGTACGGTGCTACATGATGAACCTTCCCAATGTTAAAAGCCTTTCATGGCCGGGCCGGGGATTTAGCTCAGTGGTTCTGCGTCACTTGCCTCGCAAGCACAAGGTCCTGAGTTCGACCCCCCGGTACAAAAAACCCCCCAAAAACCTTTCATGGCCCTAATATAAAAAGGGACAATATAACTTGGCCTAGCACATTACTGGTACCCTGAATAGCCTCAGTCTGTCAAACGTCATCTTTCTACATACAGTACTAGCCGGTCTCTGAAGGCATCTTGCGAATCTCCATAGCTTTTACATTGTACTTCCACTGAAATTTATATTCTCCATTCATTTGGCCTCAGAAAACTAAGAGTAACACTAACTCTAACAGTAACCCTAACAGTACTATTTTAAAAATTTGATGCAGTACAAAATACACAATTACAGAAGCAGAAACATTAAACCCATTCAAATTAAGTAATCTAAAAATCTCTCCAACAGTAACCAAAATTCAGTCTTCTAGTATTCACTAGTTGCTTATGGTACAGAATTGATATGTTGGAACATACACAAACATACATGATAGGTTTTATATTACAAACAATACTATATAAAATAAACATGAAGCAGATAATGTTGCAGGCAGCACACAAGTGAGGACACAGAACTGGGAACATGAGGAAGGAATGCTCTAAGTGGGGAGAGAGGTTAGGAAAATTCTCACAACAACGTGGTAACTGTGATCATAACCGACACAGCCCCAAACTGGTAACGTGCAAAGGGGATGGCACCGGGTTTCGGGCCGGGCCAGGAGGCCAGGGGCCCAGGAGGGCTGTGTGAGGCAGAGCACAGCGGAACCGAGCCCTCCGGGCCACAGCACCATGCGGCTGGCCCAGTTCTGCCTCAATCCCCGCGAACTTCACGCCAGCTCACCGAAAAGTTCCATCAACCTTTCACCAGACCTTTGATATCCGCGTGACGCTGCTCAAGGTCCAGGTAACGCCATCTGCACGCACAGGGTCCAGGAAGTTCCGGGTAGAGAGATCACGTGGAGTCAGATCCAGAGCCATAATCCCGCCCATCGAGCGAAGCTCCGCCCACTGAATAGAATCTGACCTGCCCCACTGGGCACACAGGCAGAGAGAAGCGACCCCCACCGAACCGGACTCCACTCACGGTGAAGTCCCACCCGCTCCTGCTGGGGCAACGCAGAGTAAAGCCCCACCCACCAAATCAAACCGAGCCCCTGGGCGGAGTCCCACCCGGTCTGGGCCGCGAGTAGCGCGAGGTTCCCCGCCCCCAACTGAACGATGTCCCTCCCACCAAGCAGCCCTACCCACCCAGCTCCGGGCGCACACCACGCCCCGCCTACCGAGCGTACTTCCGTTCCCAGGAGCGGGTTTCCACCCACTTGCCTTAGGCGGAATTGCCGACGTCCCCCGGTCTTTAGCGAGCTGCCCCAACTTCCCGACTGTTCCTGGTGAGTAGGTAGGCAGAAGACCCTCCGCGGCGTTTCAGAGTCACGCGAGCCGTGAAGACCGTCGCCCGAGTCTTCGTCCTCCTTCGCGCCTCCTGCCCGGCTGTACCCGCGCTCCCAGGAGGTGGCGCTGCGCACCTCGGCTGCGTCGGGCCTCGTGGCTCTGGAAGGACACCTAGTTATCATCTCCTTGGGGAACGTTTGTAGCGAGTGAGAAGTTCAAATGCTTTTCTCATTATAACTTCTTTGCCGCAAAAAGCGGGTTTCGGACAGCATGGCAGAGGTACAAGAAACCAGGCACAACATACAATACGAAAATAGAACAAGTTCAGGGGAACTTAGGCGAATTTAGAAGAAACTTTCTTGCCTTCCGGAGTGTATATCTGTATATTTCCCAATTAGGACGTTCTGGGTTGAGTTTTTTAGAAAATTGGAATTATTTCAAGAAGATATCGCCATTAAATCTAACAATTTTCACATGATTCTATACTTATTTTGCTGAAATCATAGGAAAAGCCAGCTTTTAAAAAAAAATGTAGAAAAGTACTGACATTTTAATGCCATTTTGTGTATATGCTGCCTGCGAGCACAATGACATTTTGTAACTGACAGGACTTCAGCCTACATTCTGCCCAAAGTAGCAAAATAAGGCGATAATCCCACCCCCTTTTTGAAAGTGAGGATAATAATAAGGCTTTGGATTTTAACCATTTGTTGACAGTCTCACAACTAGTAATTGACAAAGACTAGATTCCTTCTCAGCTGGCACTTGTTCAAGTCTTCTTTACACCTAATGAGCCATGTACGTACTTATAGAAAGATGAGTCACTTTTACAATAAACTGTTTTATTATATTTATACTTATAAAAATTAAGGAATATACTAAGGATATATATTAAAGAAAGAGACATAATTACCTGTCAGTGTATGTTTATTCATATTTTGTATTCTTTTTAAAGACCAATCTTGTAAAAATTTCTTTAAAAACTAACGTAAAGTGCCAGTAATGTGTGGGAGCAAAACTGAAGCTTCAGATGCATGCCTGTAATCATAGCACTTGAGACAAAAAAAATCCCAAGTTCAAGGCCAGCCTGCATTACCACGAGTTCAAGAGGAGCCTGAACTACAAGAAGACCCTGTCTGAAAACATTAAAAAATCAAAAAAGCCTAAGATATTACTAAGAGAAAAAAAAGCATTTTAGCTTTTCAAGAACCATGTGTTCCTATGGACCAAATTAACCATTCACATGGACAGAAGAAAACTGCTTGAAAAAGTTTTAAGTCTTTAAAAATACATGCACAAGTCATACTTCCAGTTTTTCTTACAACTTCCATAGGAAATAAATAGGAAGAAATTGAAATACTACCCCAAATTACCTATTCTGCTGTTTGAAAATATTTTAATATATATACTAATTTATTTCAATTACAATAGTGGTTTATCTTTGTTGAAAACAGTTTGTGTTAACTGTTTTTTGTAAAAATCTTTTTGGTCTATGTCTCGTAACTTTGAGTAACTACTTCACAGATAATGATACATAGTGTATGAACTATTGTCATTCTCATAATTTTGTTTTATTTTTTCATAAAAAAACCTTAGTTGTCTTAAGACTCAACAATGCAGTTCTTCATATAGACCCCGTCCTAAATGAACTGTCTTGGGAGCCATTCAAGGAGTAAGCACAGGTAATTAGGGAGAAAAAGAAAATTAGAGCACACATAAATGATTATAAGCCATCTGTAACAAAACTCATAGCCCTCTACCTGAACAAAGTCAGCCTTTTAGAAATGATACTCCATAATAAATTTGTTTCATCTGTTTAATCTTATTCTCCCACTACTTAATACCGAATCATTGTCAAAATAATTTAAACACCTAGGCTGTGTGGGAGCTCCAAGGAACTCTTTCTTTTAAAAAAGGTACAGTAACTAACCTAGATTATGCACATGAAATGATGATTCTTGATAAAGACTGGTAAGGATTCTTATAAATGCACAAAAATATGCTATTTATGGAAAGAAATAATTCTGAATACTGGAAACATTCATGTTAAAGTTCTCTGTCTTCAGGCAGAAATTGGCTGTCTACAGCCCTAAAACCAGATCTGGTCCATTGCCTATTTTTGTATAGCCCACAGTGAATTTGCATTTCTAAATGAGGAAAAAGTTAAAATGAGAGCAATACACAGTAGGTTGTGAGCATTCTATTAAATTCTGTCAGTGTCCATAAAGTTTCATTGGCACCCAGCCATACTCATTGTAGATACACTATCTACATCTGCCTTCATGCTATAGCAACAGAGTTGAGTAGTTGCAGCAGATACTACGTAGACTGCACAGCTTACAATATTTTAATAATAATGTGGCCCTTGACCAACTTGAAAACTTCTAAAACTTTACCAGTCCCCATACTGGAGAATGAGCAGCATGGTGGTATAATTGATTGAAGTATTAGTGTTTTATATGCAAAACTATAAACAGCTTAAGAGAATGAAGGCATTGGTTTTTTCCCACCAATCCAAGAAGGTAGACAAACCTTTACATTATGAATTTGGATCCCGGTGTCTCAGGGTACCAGTGACGTTCATGTTTCCCAGCTGTAAATGGAAGACTCAGATATATAGAAGACACTCTTATATGGATCTCTCTTAGGGAGTAGGCAAAAGAAGTGGATTTTAAATTAGGGGAGAAGTTGACTGAAGAAATTATTGGGACAGGGTGGTTAAAGGATTTCTGTAAGTGCTTCAGACTTATCTCTGTGCCACACACCACTATGGTCTTAGGAACAGTAGCACAATATCTCTGCACCAATAATTGTTACAGAGGTATGAAGCCTTCTGCCTTCAAGTCAATATGGCCTTTGGGTGGTTAATTACTAAGATGTCAACTTAGAATTTTTATATTCCCATCATTCTGCTGCAGTCATCAGTTGACATTCCACTGCAAGTAAAAGGTCTCTACCCATTTACTTATTTATATCAATATGGGCTCATAGGTTACTATCTTCTTTAACAGATGACAGCATTTTATTATCATAATTTGTTTGATGTTCATATCACTCAGTTTTGGCCAGTGAGTGTTCTTTTAAGAACTCACTTGCCCCCACCATTTTAACCAATCCCCAACAGTCTTTGACCACTTCCATACTCACGGTCACCACAAGCATTCCAGGCTCATCTGGGACCTGTGTTTTCACAACCCAGAATCAATCATGTCTCCATTTATTTTAGTGAAGAATGATATTTAGAAACCAAGATCAGAGGCAGAGCTAAGCAGTAATGCATGGATAAAATTATGTACATGCTGTTTATAAACTGTCTATAAACATTCACACACCTGACCAATTTTATTTATTCTGTATGTACAAACCATGAGTTTATGCTATTTCCAATTCCATTTAAATACCATAGGGCTTGTTTTAGTTTTCTGCCCTTCTTACCTACTTGTAATTTGTTTTGAGAGACCCGACTCCCATTATTCTAAATATACTCAGTAAGCTTATCTAACTTATCTGTCACCACCTACCTCCTCTGTCCACCCTATCCTCAACACCACTTGGCTCCCATCAACCACGAAGGCTGCTGCCGTCTGGGTATGCTGCCACCTGCATAGTTGGTTTTTTGGCCCTACTCAGGCTCTGACCTTCCTTGGGCTTTCCCAGGGATGACTGATGATGGCTTATTTTGGAGAATAATTCTGGAGGCAGAATAAAAGTAGCTGAGATGAAGAAATGGTTGCAGGCAAGGATGCCACAGGTCAGGCAATATATGATGAGGTCTAATGAAGGGTTCAAGGACCTTGGATAACTGTGCACTTACTCTGATTCCTCTGAGTATCCACTGCATGAAGAACACTCAAAACATTATAAACATTTTGCATTTCTGCGTAGCTTCTGTGTGGGCCAAATAAATAACAAACTATCCTCCAAAGAAATCTGCATTTCTTGTGAGAAGCCAATTAGATCATGATGATTAATTGTGGAAATGATGAGCTCTGTTTTAACCCCTCAGTGACAGAAGGATTTATTTCTAGACTAAGAACGAACATTTATAACAGTCTATATAAGAAAATTGAGCAGGATCTTCCACCTTTATATCTAGGTCAAATTCTTGGGACTATCTGGAGGTTAAGAACCGTTTAGTAAAAAGGGATGGTTACCTCTTGTATGAAGAACTAGCTCACTTCATCAGATTCATATGAAGCTGCAGTTTGATCACAGACTTTTGCTTTTCACTGCAGATTTTCTATAATCAGGCATCATATTGGACATATGTTGTTTTTTCTGTAGCTTCAAGGCCCAAGTCCATGACTCAGTCACCCTTGGATTCCCATTCAGGATTTTATGTTTCCATCATATGTGAGGTATTACAGAAGTATTTGCTGAATGAAATAAAATTTCCTGAAGTGTAAAAAACAGGCCAAGGATGAGAGCCAGTACAATTAAAAAATATTCTGTCACTATCGTTTTTATCATGACAGCCCTACCTAGAAAAGTATTTTTTTCTTCTAGCACTGTTCCTTGGAAATAATAGGTGCAATTATGTTTTTAATTTGAACAAGTTTTATTCTGAACAATCTGGCTGAATGATTTGAGATCTTGAACTGGAACTAATTATAGTCACAAAGAAGGTCTACATATGAAATATTTGAAGGTTAAGAATGGCCAGATACATAGCACAAAGGCAATAAAATATCCAAAAGGTACATGAAACCCTTTCACATTTATGATGCTTGGTTAAAATGCAAGTAATGGTTAAAAACAGAAGAGTTGTGAAATGTTTAGCATGTGTATGTTTTTCAAACAAAATTGGCAAAAGAAAAGATACACTGAGTGCTATTAAATTACAATTTGGCACTAAATCTCAGCAACATTTAAAAGGAAAGAAAAAGGAAGGAAGAGAAAAGAAAAGGACATAGTGCTTTATAATTACCAAGTTAAGTTAATAATGTAAATTCTCGGGGCTGGGGATTTAGCTCAGTGGTTTCGCTGCCTGCTGTGTAAGCACAAGGACCTGCGTTCTATCCCCAGTACAAAATAATAATGATGATGATGATGATGATGATGATGATGATGATGATGATGTAAATTCTCAGACTATCTAAAGCTCAATAATGATTTTTTCAGTTGAAATTATGTTCAGAAACTATACAGACTGAAACAGTTTTTGACCCTCCATTTTGTGTTGTTTTACAGCAGTTATGCTGATGTCCTACTAAGAATGACCTGGGCATCTGTTTACTGATTAAAATAACAAAAAATTTTGAGGACATTAAGGTATTTCACAAACATCTGTCTCTTTAAGAACTTTTTTTCTTTTGAATTAGAAAAATTATGAAGAGTCACTGAAAAATTTGGAAAATTTGGAAAAGCATTTTAAAAAATGAACAACCAACAAGCATTGCATTCTGACTGAACCTCCCATCATTTTTCTCTCATGCAGATTTTCATAACAGCTTCCTAACTGGTCCTCACTTTCATCTCTACCCAGCCTAGAAACCAGAGGGATCAGTGCTAAAATGCTAATCAGGCCTTGCCATTCCTCAGGTCCAAACCCTCCAAATGTTCTCACATCCCTCAAAATAAAAGCAAAGTGAAGACCTACAGGAAACCCCTTGGCCCTTGACACTTTCCTTTTTTTTTTTTTTTTGCCACTTCCTTTTGACCACACATGTACTAATAAGCCAAAATAATAAAGGGAAAAGAACTAAAACAACTATCATCATTTGCCATCTCCTGAGTTCAGTGGGTCTGGTGCTTGGGAGAGGCTCAGGTAGATGGTTCTGGCTCAGGTTTTTCGAGACGTTTCAGTCAGATGAAGCTGCAGTTAACTAAAGGCCTGGCAGGGTTGGCAGACCTGCTGCCAAAGTGGCTCATTCACATGGCTGTAAGCTGGTGCCAGTCATAACCATGATTCCTCAAGTCCTTCCCAAGTGGGCCTTCCCACAGAGCTTTCCTATTGTCCTCATGACATGGAAGCCGGCTTCCCTCAGACTGAGTGTTCCAAGAGAGTAAAGGAGAAGCCAGTGGTTTTTATGACTGAGGCTGGAAGTCACACGCCAACACTATTGTGTTTTATTAATCACATGCCAGTCCTGATTCAGTGAGGAAGGAGATACACAAGTAAGTGGATAGCAGGTGAGGATCACTAAGAACTTCCTGGAAGGCAGGCTAATTCTATAGTGCTATCTGCTCATACCTGAAACAATGACTGGCACATAGTAGGAGTGCAATAAATACTTCTAGACAAATGAATGAGTTCTACCTCTCAGTTTGCTCCAACCCCAAAACTGGGGATTGAACCCAGGGACTTCACACTGAACTACATCACCAGCCATTGATTGATTGATTGATTGAGACAGTGTCTTGCTGTGTAGTACAAGCTGGTCTTGAACTTACTGTGTAGCCCACGCTGGCCTTGAACTCATTGTGATCCTCCTGTCTCAGCCTCCTGACTGCTGGGAGATATAGAATATATATATCTATATATCTCTATCTCTATCTATCTATCTATCTATCTATCTATCTATCTATCTATCTATCTATATATCTTGTACAGACACTCATGAAAGGACTACCAGAATTGCTTCAGAAATTCACAATTAGCAGGCAGTGGAACCACTGAGCTAAATCCCGGGCCCTACTGTAATAATTTTTTTAAACATTTACCTTGTATATATCCTCTATTTCTCTAGAGGAATACAACTGAGTACAGAAGGAAAAACCTGAGTAGGGCCAGAGAAAATGGGTGGGTAGCAAATGGGAGGTGTATTGTATGTGTATTAAGCAAGGGATTTTCCCCCTAAAGAGAAAAACTTAGAGCATAGTAGTATGCTGCTGACAATAATGACTAAGAGGGGGTGGAACTGGTGATGTAGGCTATAAAAAATACAGTGGTATGTTTGGTGGGAGTGGGAGGTCTTGCTGCATGGGTGGGGCTCAGGCAGCAAGCCTTTGGTGGTGGAATGGTGGGGAGCTTCTAGGAGTGAGGGCAAATCTCACCTTTCTTGTTGTGAGATGAGACAAGGGGCCTGGTCTTGACAAAACAGATGCCCGTCTCTAGAAGACAGAAAAGAGTAGATAAACCTTGTAAGAGCTTCTGACAGCATGCCTGAACAACCCTAATTCCTCTGTCATTATATTTCAAGGAGTTATAACATTAACTAAATATTTTGATAGCCAAATCATTTTGACCTGATTTTTCTGGACTTTTCAACATTAACCTGATGTTTATATGAGTTCATTTCCTTTACAATAATCTTAGCTTCTTTTTTTTTCCATTTCATTACCTATTTCTGTAGCATGCTCAAATAAGATATGAAACATTACAAAATAGAATGTGCCTATGTTTCTACTAGGAAAATGTGAAAAGTCAAATAAAAGAACAAAAAATGTAGAAGTGGGGTTTTAGCAATGTATTTCTCTCTGATAGTATAGGACAAAAAAAAAATGTTTGGCTCTAGTTTCTGAAAGCCACAATCTGAAAACTGCCTTGAAAGTGATTCATTGAAGTTACTCTTTTAACTTTGGGCTGAAAATTCTCATCTTGGTATGAAATCTGGGTCACTCGAACAAGTCCTCTAAATTTTGAGGACTCAAATTCTTACTTGGCAGATTGCAGTAAGTAATCCTAACCAGACAGGGTCTGAGGAGGTTCCTGAATCTGAGACAAGGAATTTAACCCATTCCTTTTGTAGAACAAACTTCCAAGTTCTCTGACTTCTGTTATAGAAAAAGAAGTTTCCAGACCAGTCAGTATGAGCCATGGGAAGGATTTTATTCCGCAGATATTAAGCAGTCCACCCTCAAAGATGTAGAGTACAGGCCCTGAAGAAAGAGAGGCACTTATTTCCTAGAACAGAGAACTTTTATGCCTCTCTTGAGAGAGTGGAAACCCTGAGAAAATGTAGCCTACACCCTAGGAGAGTAGTAGTCACTGTACAGGTATAAGCCCAGTTTTTGTTGTTGTTGTTGGTTTTGTTTTTTGAGCAGGTAATTTAAACATTCTTTCTCAATGAAGCCAATTTATGACTTTCAGTATTTCTGATGAATTTTGGGTGTTATGAGTCTGGAAAGAAAGGAGCCTAAATTTAACCAAGTGCCTTGGATTACTTCAACGGAAGCCCCAAATAGCAGTCTTTTTAATAGTACAATTTTTTTTTTTTAGCTCTCATGATCTTTGAAAATTATTTGCTGGGACACTTTGAGATCTAAAGTGAAGATGTCTGCCTTTGAACAAATTTGGATTTGCTTATGCTAGGACCCTCTGGGCATAGAGATCCCTGAAGAGATCTAGATACTCTAGATTCCAGACCTCCTTCATGGCTTGCAGTTCCCAGAATCAGAGGACTTACATATACTATATGTGCAAGGCTGACACTGGCCACAAGCTCCAGGGATGTGTTGTTTCTTTTCTTTTTTTTCCCCTCCTTTCCTTTTCCCTACTTCATTTTATGCCAACGTTACTGGTTGGTTGTTCAAGTCCAGAACCTTGCCACTCCTCCAAAACACATGGGAGACTTTGGAAAAAAGACTGTATTCAGAGTTTATCTTCATACTGCCTCAAATCACCATTTCCCTGTGCAAGGGCCCTTCTAGCTGGGAAGAGAGTAAAGAGACAATACACTAAGACAACAAACAACTCCATGCCTGTCCCTTCTTGTGGGTCCTTGGGGAGAGAGGAGGAATTAACAGTTTTACATTATTTTTGGTTCATTCTTACCCTGAAAGTGTAAGCTTTTGGGATCTTAGCTTACTATGGAGAGGGAATCTCTAACTAGAATCCCACTTGTGTGGCACTGGCCTTTGATTTCTTCCTTCTTGCCCTGTCAGTCCTGTAGAAGAAAAGTCCCTTAACTAGATTGATAAATTATTTCAGGACAAAACTAGAATTGGTGCTCTTAATACAAACCTTGGTGAGCTTTTTCTGTAAAGGGCCAGAGTAAATATTTCAAGGTTTGTGGGACATAGAGCCTTTGTATGTACTGCTCAACTCTGCCATTGTAGTAGGAAAGCAACCACAGATAATAATGCATAAACAAATGAATGTTTGGCTGTGTCTCAGTAAAACTTTATTTACAAAAGTAGGCATTAGGCTAGCTTTGGCCCTTTGACTCTAGTGTGCTTCCCCCCCCCTTTTTTTTTTAAAGAACAATTTTTACTTACAATTTATTTGTCTCCTTCCTAATTATCTTTTAATTCTTCTGTCCTACCTTTCCCCACCTCCAGACTTTGATCCCTTATTCTTAAGAGGGTACAGAGCCAGGCATGGTGGTGCATGCGTGTAATCCTAGCAGGAGAATCACCAAGAGTTCCAGGCCAGTTTGGGCCACATAGTGAGTTCAAGGCCAGCCTGAACTACCTAGCAAGACCCTGTCCAAGGGAGAGACAGAGAGAGAGAGAGAGGTACAGAAGGCCTGATGTTTTTCTTTTCTTGTAACTGCTTCAAGCTGACGAGGGCCATTGTTCTGGCCTAGCTAGGATTCAAAAGGCTCACCCTGACTGATTGGTTTATTTTGGGGTTTTTTTTCTGATTGTTTAATAAATGGTCATCTGTGTAATCCAAGCTGCCCTTGAACTCACTATGTAGCCCAGGCTGGCCTCAAACTCATGGCAATCCTCCTGCCTTAGTATCCCAAGTGTTGGAATTATAGGCCTGTGCCACCACCTGGGCATTGCAATCATTTTAAGAGACCAGTTTTAAAAGTTATTATTCTTTGTCTGCTTTTTATCTATCTTTTATTTCTTCTATCCTATCTCAAGATAACTTTAGGAATAGGAAATTAAAGAAATTGAAACTCCATATAATAACAGCATCATAAAGTCAATACTCTCCACAAGATAACAAAGGATAAGATATTCTGTGGTTAATAAGTCCCAGTTGCACAAATCACAGGACTTGAGTGAAGGAAACTGGAGAGCACTTTGGACTTAGGACTTTTGCAGAACGGGGCTAGCTAATGAGATTCACATTTGGAATTTCTAAAAAAGTAAAAAATTAAAAACTGGAAAAATGTACATCTCAGAAAAAGTCTATGTACATGCCCTGTTAATACAGTATTAACTCATACTTTGCTATTTCCTTAACATGTCATTATATTAGCTAAATATTTTTATGGGTACATTTGCCATTTGCAAATGCTGCCCATTCTCATACTGTGTCTGATTCACTGAAGAGGAGAGCTGATTTAAGCATGTTTTGTTGGATAGGAAACTTAAGCAGGATTTAACTGGTACAAAGTGGAATGGAGATCACCTGATCCACTGTCGGGATTCCTGAGTCCCTGGTGAGACTCTTCTTTTACATTTAGTGGTTGTGAAGTTGGATTCAGAGGCTCTTTGTTAAAGAGAAACCACACCATTCTGAAGGGTTATTTAGCAAGTCATTGGGTTCATGGACTTGAGGAAGTAGAAGGGTTTTTTTAAAACTCAAATCTACGGAAAAATGGTAAGAATATTTTCACAAGCTCCCAAATATCTTGCAGTTGGAATCATCAATTTTTGACTGAGACATCTGAAAGTCAGTTTTACAGATCAGGGTACTTTAACTCTATTGCTGCAGCATTCATCTCCTTAGCATTCCCTGTACCATTACCATACCTGAAAGATTAGCATCAATTAATAATTCCACTATATGTTGTCCATATTTAAATTTTCTCAACTGACCTGAAAAGAAATCTATTATAGCTTTTTTTGTTTAAACCTAGGATCTAACTGAGGCTCTGCCTACACAATATTAATGTTCTAATAACCAATAACCTTTCATCTGCATGGTGTTTTTTTGTTTTTGTTGTTGTTTGTTTGGTTGTTGGTTTTTTTGAGACAGGGTCTCCTCCCAAGTGCTAAGGTGTGAGCTACCACGACCAGTTTCACTTGAAAGTCTTAGCACCCATAAATATTATAATCTTTGCTGGAGCCACATATTACAAGGACTTTGCAGAAGTGGTTATTTAAAAAATTTATCTATAGGCTGGGTATGGTGGCACATGCCTGTAGTCCCGGCACTGGGGATGCTGACGGGGGAGGATTGCTGTGAGTTTGAGGCCAGCCTGGGCTACATAATGAGTTCAAGGCCAGCCTGAACTACATAGCAAGACCTTGTCTTAAAAACAAAAAACAACAACAAAAAACCCCTCGACAATAAATAAATAAATAAAATTTTATCTATGTTTATAACTACCATAAAGCCCCCCCCCCCACTCTCATTCTATCTCATTGTGAACATTACTGTGAACTCATGGATACTGGGTGCGGGAGGCTATAATTATTATGATAATCATTTTTGGTTTTTGATGGTCAAATTGCCCCAAATTTGGCAGTGATACTTTTCAAGCTAGATCATTTTGTGTGCATGTGAATGTGTGTTTCACAACCCCATTAGTTTCTAGATTTCTGACATAAAAATATTTGTTCTAGGCTCATCTTGATTTCTTCCTGCCTTAGACCTGAAGGCAGTTACTTTTCCCAGGAGCTCTAGTTCCTCCTAATGGGAAATGGTGTTTAGAAACGAAGATCTTGGTGCTAGGTGTCTCATAGCAAGGGGTACATCCAGATTTGTGCTGTCTGAAGCTAATACAATTTTGGAACATTTTTAAAAAAACAAATACAAAATTGCAAATACAAAATTAGGTAGAGGGCCCTGAAAGAGGCCCTTAAGTAAGGGACTGTAATTAAGATTTGAGCATCCTTACTATTGGACTGTTATTGCTGTTAGTATCTTTCAGTGAACAGAATAGTCAAATTCAACAAGATGAAGTTCTTTCTTAGCTTCTGTCATTTGACAGTTTTATATAAAGTAGAATCAACATCATGATATTAAATTAGAATCAACATCAATATATTTCCTCATGTATTCTATCTTACCATACAAACAAAAACATCATAACACATCAACACTAATATTCCTATAAAAACAAACTAGTAAAATTCAAGATTGTCATGTAGTTCTTAATATATATTCTCCCAAGGATATATAGTCAGATTTAAAATTTCAAATGTTACTTAATTTTTTGTATGGTTATATTATTAATTCAAAATACAATTAATTTTGTTACTGTTTGAATTTAATTTTAGGGCTTAAAGGTTATCTTTGATTGAATTGATTTTTTAAAAATGTAACAATCATGATTAAATGATTAAATCATGATTAAAGGGCAAAAGGATACACTAAGAATTTTCACTTTCATCCCTAATCCCTCCATCTCATTCTTACCCTTCTCCTATAAGGAACCATTTTTGTCAATTTGTGATTTACTTACCACATTTTTTCAAAAAGTTGCAAATATATACACATAAATTCTTGTTTCTTTTTTCCTCAACCAAATATGAAATATGTATCTTTTTTTCCACCTTCTATGTTTTATTCCATACATACCATAAATAGATACGTTCCCAATACTTTTTTCTTTGGTACCAGGGATCAAACTCAGGTCCTTGCGCTTGCGAGGCAGGTGACAGAACCACTGAGCTAAAACCCCTGGCCCTGTCCCCAGTACTTGAATCTATGTTCATAGATTTGATGTAGGCTTAATTTTTCAAGACAATATTCTTAAATACATATAACAGATAAATATAAAATAAACACAAAATGAATGTATATCTATATCTATAGCTGCATATGTATTTATATCTGTGTATCTGTATTTTCTTGTGGAGGAGGGACAGTAGAATTTGGGGACTAAGCATCAGGAAGGGTTAGGTTTCCTCACTGCAACCACAGGCCTGGGGTTCTAAGAGAGCCGAGCAACCAGAGACGGAAGCCAGCCCAGGATTGGGATGTTTCTGGGCCCCACATCCTCAACTCTGTGGCCTGGGCAGAGTTAACCTCTCCCATGCCTCATTTCCTTGTCTCCTAATTAGAAGACGTAAATAATATTTTTCCAAGGGAACACTGAGGCGATCTCCTGGAAAAAGTGTGGGTAACAGGCTTAGCCAAGACCCTGGCCCACGATAACCCTTTAAATAATAGTGGCTGTTGTTTTTAAGTGGTGGTTATTACCACCGTCATTACTGTTTCGTGTGCATCTGTAATCACCACCGCCGCTAGCATCCCTGACCTCTTCCCGGGTGCCCCAGGATGCCCGCCTCCCAGCCCGCCGCTCCGGCCCGGTGACTCATTCCCAGGACAGCCTTTTGAGCAGCTTTCCTTTCCAGGGTGACTACTTCCCAGGAGGAAGGAGATCACAGGAAACCCTTCTGTGTGTCTCACATTCCTGAGCTCCAAACCGAGGGCGCGCAGGACCCAGCCCTGAGACTCGGAACTCCCGCTCTCCCTGCCCTGGCGGGCGCCGGCTCTACTCACCTCTGACCCCCGGAGGACGGGGTCCGGAGCGCCCCGGTCCTGGGGTTCGAGGTTCGCCTCGTGCCCGCTGCGCCCTGCGTCCCCGTCCCCGCCCTAACCTTGCTCCAGCCCGCGCGGCTTCCTCCCCGCTCTGTGCCCGGCCACATTTTGCAGAGCGTGCCACTCCGAGGGACCATGTCGCGGCTCAGCTGGGGATACGGCGAGCACAACGGTGAGCGTCTTTCTCTGCTCTGGAGGGGATCTGCGGGGACCGGGTGGGGCGGGGACCGGCCATGCGCGGCTCGAACTTGCAAAAACTTTCCGGTTCCTCTTTGAGCAGCGCTCGCTCCCCGGAGCAGCGCCCGGGAAGCGGGGTAGGGGTGCGGGCTCGGTCCTGGGTGGATCGCGAAAGCGTCTTTGGCTGTGTGCGGGTAGTGCGGCTGAGTCCCCGGACCCCCAGATCTTCCTGTGCATTCATTCACCTTCGCTTGAAAAGCCGTTTTCCTACTAGCAGCCACTTCAGAAGACGGCTTGGAGAGAAGTCAGATGACAAATGAGGATAGAGTCGCTTTCAGCCCTGTAAGTCACGCTGTTCACTTCGAAGAAACAAATCAAGGGAAATCGTCGAAAAGGCCTTTAAGAACTCTTAATGAGTTGCATATGAACACTGGAGATTAAGTTGGCTGCTAGGCAACCAAAATAGTCCTGAAAATTTCTCAATGGCTGTTGTAACAAGGCTTTCGGTTCTTTCTGGGAAACGAAGTTACATGTTGTTCTCCATTCTTCTGCTATATTCAGCCTTGCAGAAGACTGAGGGCTAAGAAAGGATTATTGAAATTACAATACAATGATAAAAATATATTTGTTGATAGGAGTGACAGTAATAAGGCAATAATATCATTTATATATCCTAAATGATCAGAAGTAAAACACTTTTTCTTGTATATTCAATTGAACTAATTGTTTCAAGTGATGTTATTCAAAATAATTGCAAACTGACACCAAGAAAATGTTATGTTGCATGACTGTCAAAATGAGGGCTGTGAATAATAATAGTATTAAAACTACAAATTGTAAGCCTATTATTGAACAGTACTATGTACTAAAGTTGTATAAAAAGTTTGTTTTCACAAAGAAACAGAATTTCCTTTTTGTTGGTTTTAGGTCATTCTAGCCTGGCATAGAACTTGAGATCCTCCTGCCTCAGCCTCCTGAGATCTGGGAGAAAAGTTCCCTTTCTAATCATAGTTCAAAGTTATGAATTTGAACATGTTTAAAAGTGATAGCAGATGAAATTTAGAATTTTAATAATGAACGATACCATTTGGAAGAATTTCTTTTCGATCAAGGCTGTGATTTGTTAATTTCTAATTTATGTTTGGAAAAACAAACTTAACTTTCATTTCCTTATCTGCAGGAAACATTTCATTTGTTTGTTTTTATGATACTGTGGATTAAACCCGGGGGTGCTTTACCACTGATCTACTTACCCAGCCTTTTTTTTTTGAGACAGGATCTCACCAATATGCCTAAGCTGGCCTTGAACTTGTGGTCATCCTGCCTCAGCCTCCCTAGCACTGTGATTACATTACCAAATGTGTGTGCTACCAAATCTGGCTTGGAATATTTTTATTATTGTTATTTAAGTATTATTATTATCATTGTTATTTAAGTATTAGGAGCCAATAGTGTTTTCACTGTGGTTAGCAAGAAGGGTATTACAATCAGTAGGTATTGATTACATTTTAAAAGGTTAGAAAGTATTGGCTGCAATGAAGGTTATCTTCAGAAATTTAAAAAATTCATCTCAGAAAAGACATTGACAAGAAGTGATTTTGTATTTCAACCAGGACTTAGAGGGCCATTCCTTTTAGATTCAGTAGCTTTTTTCAGGACCACACCTTTAAATAGATTAATGTTGGCAAAATCCTATTGGAAATGTATTGTATCCTGATAAGACAAGTTTTGTTGTTTTTTATCTCTTTAGACATTAGCAAAAGCAATGCCTGAGAAGATTAAAGGAAGCTTAGACTGGGGTTTTCAGCACTAATCAAAAGGAACTTCACAGACAGTTTGGAACTTCTTCCACTAACCTTTGATCTTTATGTCAGTTTTGATTAGGCAATGTGACATCACCAAAAAAGTATATATATGCCAATATGGGTTTTCAAAAGTTTCTGGATTCACTAAGGAACCACCTTTGCTTAAGAACTACATATATTAAATGAGTTTAAAACTGGTTGTTTTGGGGTAGATAATATTGGGCATTTGATAACCAAGTAGTCTAGTTTTAATTTGGTTTGCCACTTCTAAAAACAATTACATTTGTAAAGGACTAGAAATAGCAGTAGAAAAGCATTAGAAAAGAAGATCTTTGGTGATTGTGAAAAAGAAAATAGTGTGTTGTGACACGTGCTTTGCATATTTGAAATCTGATTCTGATTGATTACCTCATACTTGATGACAATGAAATAGAAAGCTTGAGATTATATACAGAGAATACTCAAAATTAAATGAAAGCAGAAATAAGAAAATGTAATGCCTTTTCTGCAATATTTTCTGAGGACCTCTGAATACTACTAAGTTGCTTTAAAGTCCAGAATGTCAAGGTCACAAATGGACAACTGTTTAAGTTGAACATATAGTTATGTATTCATGCTAGGCCTTTTTGTAGCTCAAGCATATGTGAAACAGTGTATGCTTTCTCCTTTTCAAGAGCAAAGAGTTAAAAAGCAGCTTTAGATTTTGGGATTGACCCTATTGATAATTGTGACATATTTGTTTTTGTTAGTAACAAATGTTTAACAGTTTCATGCTCTGCTGTTTTAATTAGTACTTGACTTAGAAAAAGTGGTTAGCGAAGTAGGGAAAAGCTTAGTCAGCCACCTTCTGCACTACTCACCTGGTGATAGTAGTGTAAATTGTAGGCATAGCAGAGAGGAAGAGTCTCACATCTGTAGAAAGACCTGGAGTTTACATGAAGGTGCAACCTTGCGGGCTGTTGATTTTTGAGAGGCAGAATATGAATAGAATCTCCCAGAGAAATGAAGAGGATAGTCAAAGGAATTGTCAGCTTATTGTCTTATTTCAATTTGCCTAAGAGATTCTGGTTTGTAAACTTCATGCAATTTTATCTTGAGTAGAGGGTCAAGATGTGAGTGGTCCCTTGTATTGGAATCCAAATGTAGCACTGGTAAAATAATCCTCAAGGAACCTTCTGAAATGTAGAAAGAGAGAAATACATTGCAACCAATTCCACTGTAAATAACTGACAATATTACATATCTTGACATGGCACAGACATTTTATTTGGATTATCCTATGTGAAAGATTTATATATGACCTTGGTGTGTTGATAGCACATTACAGATAGTGAAGTTGAGGCCTGAGTGACACCAGAAAATTGCAGTGAATAGTAGAATAAAGAAGAAAGAAACACAGAGGACAGTATCCTTAGACCAATACCCTTTCTCTGATACTTAGCTTTCTCAACTCCTTTGACTCTCCCAACCCTGTCAACTTGACCTTAGAGCAACCAGGGCGCATTCTTGGATCTGAGACTGAATCCCTTTGTTTTCAGTGGTGAACTATACTGTTGTTTTTAGTTTGGTAAGTGGGTACCTCTGGAAAGTACTTTATAACAGTTTATGTGCTCTTTTGTTTAATTAATGGCTTAGTTTAATTCTGAAAATGATTTAAGACAAAACAGGTGGTAACCAGACCCATGAAGAAAAAACAAAACAACAAGTAGGTTTAAAAACAATTACAGCTGGGGATTTAGCTCAGTGGTTTCGCTGCCTGCTGCGCAAGCTCAAGGACCCGAGTTCAATCCCCGGTACGGGAAAAAAAAAAAAAGTTACATATGAAGGTCCTGAGAATGAGTATTTTATTTTATTAATCTTTGTTTTCTTCAATCTTAGACACAGTGCAGTGCAGTACACTTAATAAGTTTTTGTTGAGTGAAATAACTTAGTCCTTTTTTCTTGGTCTTATATTTTCAAGGTCCTATTCACTGGAATAAATTTTTCCCTGTTGCTGATGGTGATCAGCAATCTCCCATTGAGATTAAAACCAAAGAAGTGAAATATGACTCTTCCCTCCAACCTCTTAGAATCAAGTATGACCCCAGCTCAGCTAAAATCATCAGGAACAGCGGCCATTCCTTCAGTGTCGACTTTGATGACACACAGGACAAATCAGGTTAGCATTTCTTTCTTTTGATCTTCTGTGTGTGTGTGTGTGTGTGTGTGTGTGTTTGTGTGTGGAGGATGAGCAACTTGGATAATTAGACTTTACTCTCTTATTTATATTTTATTAATGCTAGACTTGGAATTTGCTGAGTTGAAATATTTGTTTTCTTCATGTGAATTGAGATGGTCAGTTATATATTTGGAACTTAAAATACGTTAAAGCGATGCAAAGGAGTATTTATAAAAGGGTGTACTGAATAATATTTTAAAATTGATCTCAGCTTAATATAACTTCACTTGGCATTTATCTTTATGAAAATATTGAAATTTAACAGTAATTCTTAATTTGTTTTGGGAAAGTTTTAAATCATAATTATTTTAATATTTATTAGCAAACCTATAATGCCAGTTACTGTGTGGTTTAGTAGAAAAATATGTTTTTTTAAAATATCATAATCCCTTATTATTATTATTTTTTTTGGTACCGGGGATCGAACTTGGGTCCTTGAGCTTGCAAGGCAGGCTGTGGAACCACTGAGCTAAAACCCCGGCCCAATATTCCCTTATTTTAATTGCAAAGGTAATATATATTTATATACATGTAATAAAAATATAGAAATGTATGATAAAAATTAAGTCTCTCCTTATAATCTCTCCCCATGTATATTGCTATACATGCTATATTGTTCCATTTTTATCTTTCTTCCTCTGATTTCACTCTACTTTGGGCTAATCAGTAAAATAATTTTGCACGTGTTTCCAGATTTGACATTTAGTTTGTGATGACTAGTGTGTGCCCTTTTGTTTACAAGAAGACCTCCATTTTTATCTAGATCACAATGAAATTATCAGGATTATTTGAAAATGTTCATAGAATATATACTTTGTACTCCTCTAAGACAGAAGTTATATAAATATAGGTCATGATGGTCATTGTTTTTTCTTAGGATGAAGCAAAAGAGATTGTTTCATTATGATTTTAGGGATTAAATCAATCAAAAAGAAAAACCACCATAGTTAAATTTGTTGCCAATTTTTCTGTTTTGTTGGTAAACTATAAAAAACAGATATTTTCTGTAACAAACTAATTTGAACAGAACAGTCTCCATTTTGTAAAGAAGTCATTCTTTTTTAGAACAAATTTTTATTAGTATGTGTTTTGTTCTGTTTTTTCTGGGGTATTAGTACGTATGTATATCACATCTTGATCCTTTTAACTTTACCTTCCCCTACCTTTCCTCCCATCTTCCCCCTCTGGATGCCCTTCCCATCTCCACAAAGTCTGTCTCCCTGCCTGTTCTTGACCAGAAGTAACTCTGAATCTGCCAGTCAACACACCACAGTGAAATATTTCTCCTAGTCCTTTGAGGGTTTGCGTGTTTAGGCTAGTGCCCATCCCATGGTTAACCAAGATAACCACCCTTCAGAACTCTAACAGTCCTGTAAAAGGGGATATGTGGATATGATATTCTTTAGGAGATATACCAAATTCTTTGCTGAATACTGGATAGGAATAGTCTGATGAGGGAAATCATGATCCTGTGAGGAAAGACAAGGCAGTTCGTGTTCAGCTACTGGTATTTCTGGATTTAGGATGTCACATCTCCAGGAACCTCACCTGATGGGTTGCACCACCCCTGCTGTGGTTCCCAAGGCATCCTGGGCTTGTCCTCTAACAGGACTTTCCTTGTCTTATAATGCCAGGTAGGCTTCTCTGTCTTTCCAACTGAGCTAAAGGCTCCTTGTTGATAATAGCTCTGTCTGGATTTTTATGGCATTTAACTCTGAGTTCTTACTCTCTGTAGATCACATACAAAAGAATCATTTGGAATAACCTTTTTAAAAATATTATAAATGGATTATATATGCCAAGTGTGACTTTGGAGAAATAATTACTTATTTTTAAGCATAAAATGGATACAATAATACTTATTAACTAGGTTGGAAAGTAGGTTGACTAATTTGACATTTGAAAACATGAAATCATTTTCATTAAAAATAATTTTTCTTGCCATTATTAACTTTGTACTGTTGTTTTGTTATAAGCCATCTCAAAGTCCATGTTAAACTTTGATATGTTAACTCACTTTTCCCCACCATGTGTTTCTTTGAAAAAGCACCGCTCCAAGCGAATGGTCGACTCTACATTTAATTATGATTACAATCCCAAATGGGACATTTTATTTGAAACCCTTAAATGTGGAGTCTACGTATGTAACATGTAAGGCAATCTGTTGCTTAACTTAGCACAACACTTATGCTAGTCTGATTTTAAGCCCTGGACTCAGAGCAGCTTTCCAGAGATTGCCCATTGTTCTTGGATGTCTCCCTTACAATGTATGTTCTCCGTTATCTCTTCCTTTCTCTGGAGCCAGCTTGCTTCCATCTTCTTCCAAAGTCAATTCTGCATTGATTACTCAAGCTTTCTAATCTGCTTTTTATCCAAGAAGGAACAGCTTTATCTTTAGCTCAGGTTTTATTACACAATAGCAAGGAAAAAAATGAAAGCTTTCTTTTCCTTTGGAATTTCATTCCATCTTCAATCAATACAGACTATGTAATGTACACAGATTATGGGTGTCAGGGAAATGTGCCTTTTAAATTAACTTATCTGATAATCATGTTGAAACTCTTTAAAGACAAATATGTTATTCATATTTTCACCTTCTGTAATAGTTACCGTGCTAACTGTGGGTATAGTAGGAGACCCAGCTCTGCCCTCATGAGCATTGCCCAGTGGGAGAAGATGTAGTAAAATTCTTCTGTTTTAACAGAGTAACTGAAGAGTAAATCCTATGTCTGATCTAAGTGGCTCTTTTTACTTTTCAGAATGCTTTGAAAAAATACATATGATTTAATTTTTCTTCATTTTTATTACAGTGTTAGAGTAACATTACTAGCTCCAGTTTTTAGATATGGAAGCTGAAGCTTAGAAATTTGATTTTGTCCAAGATCATGCAGTTACGAAAAATGGGAGCTCCAGTCTTTTTTTTTTTTGGTGGTACTAGGGATTGAACTCAGGGTCTTCACACTGAACTATATCCCCAGTAAGACAAGATTTCACTAAGTTGCTAAGTTTCCCAGGCTGAAGTTGAACTTGTGATCCTACTGCTTCAGCCTCCCAGAGTGCTGGACTTACAGGTGAGCACCACCACACCTGACTAAGTTCTGGTCTTCTACTGATACTTGTGCTCTAGATATGAAGCAGTGGCCTGCTATATCAAGGTCCTCTCAGGCCTCTTGGCATGGTTTTTCCTTTTTCAGAGAGGTTGTCTTGCCCTCAGTTAAACAGATTCAGAGGAATTTGGATCCAGAATTCCTAGTCCGTTCTACTTGTAATTTTCCATAAAAATCTGCATTATGGGCCCTCTAAACCCTACAAGTGTTTTGAATCTACTTTTCTTATACTTAAAATTATATTCCTGTCAGCAAATTAAATAACACATTTGTAAAAACTTCTTTGGAGGACATGAATAGGTTGAGTAACAATGGGGATGTTGTAGGGTACAGTAGGATGTCTAATATTTTTCTTACTAACCATTTAAAATGTGTTGGTGTTTAGCTCTACGTGGGGGTCCTCTCACTGGAAGCTACAGGTTACGACAGTTCCACCTTCACTGGGGGTCGGCTGATGACCACGGCTCTGAGCACATGGTGGACGGAGTGAGGTATGCTGCAGAGGTAAGCCACCAAATGCTTCTTGGTGACACAGGGTTTTCTAAGTGGTGGGATTTAAGGAACACAGAAGATAACTCTCTTGACCCCAAGTAGATTCTGAGTCAATTAAGTATTTCAGTATCTGGAAGAGTTGTATTCATTCAGTGTCTTAGTTATTGATATGAGAGCTTTGAATATGGCCCAGCTGAGCCTTAAACCAACTCCGAGAGTTGCCAGTTATATATTCCCATTTTAGAAATGAGTAAACTGGATACTTGGAACAATTAAGTAATCTACCCAGGAAACAATGAGATGGATTTAAACCTACATCTGTCTGACAGCAAATTACAAATTCTGGTTTTACCCATTTTATCTCTGAAAGGCCAGTGAGAAGGGAGAGAAATAAATATTTGTTTTAGATCCAACGAAGTACATACTTGATTCAGACGAAGGTGTATATAAATCTATAAAGCCCATATTAAATAAATGATAATAAATGGCAAAGTTCTATTGAGGAAAACTCTGCTAAACTCCAGTACCTTTACATTTACAGAAATAAAATGGAATCTTTGCTAATTTTTCAATTCACTGGTGAAGCATAACAAAATAAAGCTTTGATTGACTTCTTTCGTTTTGACTGGTAACTTACTGTATTTTTGGTATAATTATATTCATTAGTAATATTCTACTATTTCTAATCCTCTGGTGAAAGGACAAAGCATAATATGCCTCAAATTTTAATATGATTAAATATTGCTAATATTCAACTTACCGTGAGATGAAAGTCAATTTTTGCATGACTCAACCAAAATTATTTGAATGAAATGAATTTAGCTTGTGAGGCATCTAGGCAAGACAGAGCAGTGTTCCCAGGTGAGGAAAGACTTTTATTTTCTGATGCAACCATGCTGTTCAGCAGAATCCAGCAAACAGCTTTTTTCCAGTTTCTTCTTCCATTAACATGTATACCTGCCCTGTGAAGCTGTCCCCCTTAAATGTCTGTTTTGTTTGAGGTCAAGTGTACTTTAGCGTGTTGGACCTCCTCTGTCTTCAGGATGAGGATGAAATGAATATACATAGTTGGTCTATGGTGGTGGACAAAAGATGCCAAGAAGATAGAAAGTGAGACTCCTGAATCTGTATGGTGTTTCAGTTACGTCATCTATTGAATAGTTTTCACGTTTGCTTCCTAAACTTTTGCATTCTAAATTTAAATGTTCTAAGTCTCAGAAGGTCTGTGGTATTAAGAGCTGGCTGTTTGGGATCACTGGTCTCTAATTTTCCTTAACAATGCAGGAAAAGTGATCCCATTGCTTTATGGTTGTACTTTGTACTTTCATAAACTTGCAAGCATACTATTAGAGAGATTTACTGGCAGTTGACAAGTCGTTTTCTGAAAAGAGCCTCACATCCTGAAATTTCTGAGATGCTCAAAGTCCTCAGCTGCAGATCAGGCATCATTTTCTGTTTTGTGATAAAACTTTGATTGGAATTTTATACTGTGAATATGTCTTTAAGGCAGTTTCTTATTTCAGTGGCTCATGTATTCATTCCTTCATTCACTCTAAGAATTCATGGAGACCCTGCCATGCCCCTTGTCTTTGCACAGTTCCTTTGTGTTTATCCTGAAGGCAGTGCAGGAAAGAAGTAAGGATGTCACAAATCTCATAACCATGCGCCTAACCCAGACCTGGGTCAGACAATGCTTCCTCATGGAAGAAGGCTTTCAATCTGAAACCTGAAGCATGTACAGGAGTGAGCTGGGCAAGGGCTAGAAACAGTAGTGGTCCTGAAGAGTAATCATTTTTGAGAACTGAGGGTGGAGGAGTATCAGATATTTGAAGAACTCAATGGCCTATGTGGCCAGAACATGGAGAGTGAAGGCGAAAAATGTCAGAGCTGGAGAGGGTGGGATGGACCTGAGTTCATTGAGTTAAGCCATTGTAAGGTTTTTTTGTTTTGTTTTGTTTTGTTTCTGGTACCAGGGATCAAACTCAGGACCTTGCACTTGTGAGGCAGGCATGGTGCCACTGAGCTAAATCCTCTGCTGTAAGGGTTATTAATTTCATTCTAAGTGCAATGGGAAGCCCCTGAATGGCTTTGAATTGGAAATTGATCATCTCTGAATTTCAAAAGTATATCATTCAAACTCTAGCTGTGTCTTGGACTGAAGCAGGAGTGGCTAAGGGGAACCCTGAGGAAGCTTTAGGATAAGCTAACAGGTGATAGTGCAGGGGAAAGGCTGAAAGGCTGGAAGTGGCAGCTCTAGTGGGATTTGTTGATTGATTGGGTTTGAGGGTGAGAAAGTGGGGAGCCCATGTTTTGGGTTAGGTAGAGAAAGCAGAAATCTGGTTTGGACCTCAGGGCTGGTGGGAGACAGAGGTAGACAATAAACAAACACATAAACAAATATGTGATATATGGTAAATTCTTTGACAGAAATAATGCCATGTGTTCTGGTAGAGTGGAAAGCCTCTTGGAAATAATATGTGGAGTGAGATTAAAAGACAGCAAGGAAGCACTCTGAGGAAATCGAGAGAGGGCTTTCAAGGAGGTGGGAACCGCAAGGAACACGCTCCAAGACAGGAATGAGGTTGGCATCTTCAAAAAGAGAAAAACATTGGCCTATAGGATTGAAACTATTGAGAGAGACAAAGCTACGGACTGTCCTGCAGAGGCCGGTAGAGGCCACATCATGTCAGGTGTCGTTGGGGATGGTAAGCAGTTTGGAGTTTATTAATGCAGTGAGAAGACAGTGGAACTTTTTAAGGCGGGCATTGCATGTTTTGCTTTATATTTTATAAAATATAGCTAGCTGCCATATGGAGAAGAGGCTGTTGTGGGGCAAATGTTGAAGCAGGGAGAAAACTAGAAGGTTGCGAAAGCAGCTCAAGTGAGCAGTGATGGCGATTTGGACTGTGGGATGGTGGAGATGAAGAGAGCTGGACAGATGATTATATTTGTGAAAGGTCAAGTGAACAGGACCTGCCCCTGGAAAAGATGTCAGTACAGAAGGAAGAAAAGAGAAGAGTCTAAAACATTCGTTCCTAAGGACTTGGCTTGAGCAACCTAGAGGATTGTTATTCCATTTACTGAGATTGAGTGAATTCAGGGAGGAGCAGGTTGAAGAGAAGAATTAGGTTTCTGTTTTGGACATGTTAAGTTTGTGATGCCTGTTCTACATTCTAGGCTTATTTTAAAATGAACCATTGGATACATAGCTGGGTTTAAAGCAGAGGTCAGGGCTGCAGATGGTGGCATTTGGGAGTCATGTGCATTTGGTTTCAGCTTCAAAAGAGTCCCTTGGAGTGCAGTTCTAAAAACTATCCCAAAGCATTAATTTTTTCAGGCACCCTGTATTACTTAAGTTTGTAACTGTCTTCATATTATGTCCTCTTATAAAACAAACAGACCAAGAAGAAGAGGGAGGAGGAAGAAAAGAAGCAGGAGGAGGAGGAGGATGAATGAAGGGAAGAAAAAAATCATTTAAAGCTGCATCACATAAAAATTTAATTTGGGGCCTAATGATTTATAACATTACAAAGAGAGATCAAAATGGTCTAAGGCATCAAAAATGTTATCCCAAGAGTCGTGCATCTACATAAACTAGGCTAATAGACCACATAAAGTCCAAAGTTTGGAACTTTATGTGATTACAGTTCATCCATAATTGCTTTGGTTTGGGTCTTGAATGTCAACCAAAGACTCATGTATGAAGTGCTTGGTCCCCAATGCGGTGTTATTGGAGGTGGTGGAACCTTTGAGAGGTGGGGCCTTTGGGGAGGTCCTGAGGTCTCTGGGGTGTGCCCTTGAAGAGGATAGAGGGACACTGGTTCCCTTCTCTTCTTTTTTGCTTCCTGGTGATGCGGTGGGTGGGCAGTTTCACTCCATCACATGCTTCCTCCGTGATGTATTTCCTCACCACAGTCCTAAAAGCAAAAGGGCCAAGCAACCAAGGACTGGAAACTCAAAAACTGAACCAAATAAGCCTGTTCTCTTTATAAGTTGTTTATCTCAGGTCAAAAGGAAAGCTAACACAGTGACATGTAAAAAGGATATTAAATATGTAGTTAATAGGGAAACTGTCATGGCAAATTTTTGGCATAGTATTCGGCAGTGTATTTTACATGTCACTAACATGCAGTTATAAACAATAAAGTTGAATAATACTATAATTTGGAAATTATTTTCCAATAGAGAAGAATCTTATTTCCATCTTTGCAGTGGCTAAATATCTTCTTGTCTTTCAGCTTAAAATCATTGCTGCTGTCATTGTTAGCCAGGAAATGTGAGTTTGCTATTTGTTTGAATTTTAATTAAAATACAAATGCTAAGTTCTTCTTTGAAGGTATTGCTGCCAGTTAAGCAAGGGAGAGAGGAAGACTTTTGCCTTTGCTATTGTCATTTATTAAGATTTTATTTTTTAGAAAAGTTTTTTTTGCTCTTTGAAATGTGCCCCCACTGTATTTCAAATAGTTGCTGTTTTTTAGCCAGCAGAAGGATGGTGATATACAGGAGGTAGAGATCTCTCTTTACTTACACATGAATTTTCCAATCAGTTATTGGGGCCCTTTGGTATCACTTCTTATTAAGTGAGCTGATGTATTGGCATGGAGCCATTTAAAACAACTTCAGTGCCCTTATCAGCCCTCCCCTGACAGTAGACTGTCACCTGTCTCATATGAGCCATATGGATCCATTTAATCAACCAGTATTTTCAGGTTTCTTTCCTCCCTTAGCTATCTCACACTAACTTGATCATGCAATACTTTATTGTTTAATTGTTGACTGCTTGTGATAATTCTCATCTATCCAGAATCCCTTTATATTAGTTACCTATAAAATACAAAGTTATATTTGAAAAAGGGAGATAAAAATATTTATTTGAATATGCTAAATTTTCTCTCTAACAGTCAGCTAGAAGGGCAATTTTGGCTTGAAGACCCATATAAGTGTTCCCTTCCTGAAGTGGCAAAACAATTCATCAGGCATTCTTATCTGAAAGCAGTATGTCTTATCAGGTCCTTGGACAGCATGGCCTGGCCTTCAGCATTTATGACCAGAGCTAATCTTTTGGGTGTGTTACCCTGCCCTTTGGGTTCTCTCTCAGTTTTTTCCTCTGAACTAAGACTGAAGAATCTCCAAAAGTGGTTTTCTGCTTTACTGTGTCTCTGTAGTCTGCACATTTGTGATGGTCCTTTGCTTACATGGCAGAATGTTTAGATCTCTTTTGGGACTTGCATGAGGCCACTTGCCCAAGAGTAGATTGTGAAATAAGGAAGTCTGTTTGGTAGAGTTCCAGGTCCCTTGAACTCTTCTTTCTCTTCTGCCCACCGGTAGCACCAGCTGCCTCTCATCATCATCCTCAGACACTGCTGGTTCCTGGACCCAAAGCCTCTTTTTCACTCCTACAACTTACTCTTAGCAAACAGTCTGAACATATTTACAGAAGGCAGTAAATGCATAAAAAAATAAGTGAAATGGTGGATATGTCAGTTAGCTTGGTTTCATTATTCTACATTGTATACCTGCATCCAGACATCGTATTGTGCCCCATGTATGTACATAGTTATCATTTGTCATTAAAATGATCTAATAATAAAATGTGAGTATTTCTTCATATATTTTTTTATAAGGAGAATTTGCATTTTCAAGCCATGAGAAGTGTTAAGCTACAGCGGTAAACATCTCCCTGGACATTTTCAGGAGAAAGCTAGCAAGCTAGTCCCAGAAAACCAAAAAAAAAAAAAAAAAGAAAAAGAAACAAAAAACCTACCCTGTAGAAGCTTGACTTCTCTACCCACCTGTGGAGCTTGAGTTTCTTCAGTGGAGTCTGCTAGCATCTGGGATCTGATCTAAGGTTGCAGTCTCATCAGTGGAAAGCACAGAGGCTGGACTTTGCTAGGGCTAGAGAGACTGAGCAGAATGCTCAGGGCATGGTAAATATTCTTTAAAATGGTACTCCACTAACTGGCTATGTAACCATGATCTTTCACTGCTCCATCTTTATCTTTTTTGGATAAAAGTAAATAGGATTCTTTCCATGAATTTCATGAGCAATATATTATACATATGAGTATACAGCATCAGAACATGTACTTCAATGTTTATTTGCATTTATGTTTTTCAGGATGTTTATAAAATATATGAACTATGTTATGTACCTCCCTTTCAGCTCCATGTAGTGCACTGGAATTCAGACAAATACCCCAGCTTTGTTGAGGCAGCTCACGAGCCAGATGGACTAGCTGTCTTGGGAATATTTTTACAGGTGAGAATTCATTGACCTCATTTTAAAGGATAAGCCGTGTTAGATAAAGAGATTCAGCCATGGCATATACATTCAAATGGTTTTAATAGTAAACTAGTATTAGATTAGTGTTTTCATTTTAAAGTGAATATTAAAAATACTAGTTTAGGAACATTGTCTTATGATTCTTCCAATTATCCATTGATACATAATTTTTATGTGACTAGCAATAACAGCACCCACAACAAGAAGACTAGCAGCAGAAATAACGACTGAGAGCCTAAGAAGAAAATGTTTATTCTACACTCGTTCTGATCCCCGATTTCAATATTTAGAGGCAGAGTCCAGAGAAAAGTTCAAGCTCATGATTCTTGAAGCACTTGTTTGAGCACAATAGCATGTTGGCTCAAATATATTGACCAAATAAGAAAAACATTTTTGTTTTATTTCTCTCTGTCTAATATTCACATGCGGACAGACAAGTATTGTCATCATGCCTGAGGACAGGTTGGGCCTCTCAACTCCCACTGCTCCCACATTCTTGCAGGGTGTGCAGTTTTGCCAAGCCACATTCTTTGTGTGTGATGTTGCAATTTGTGGAACTGGGGCTCAGGGTGAGGCATGGGGCAGAGGCAGGGAGTGTCATGAACAGCGGAATATCCTTATCCTTGGCCACCAAGGCTGGTTGGTGGCAGCAGGAACCAGGTGGGGCCAGAGAATATACTTTCATCATGAAAAGTATAAAAACTCAGGTACATTCAGAACACCCCTGATGATGAAAATATATATAAAAATTCATATTTTTATCTATATATAAATATATAGATAAGATATATCTATATAAGATATAAAATATATAGATAAGATATAAAATATATAGATAAGATATAAAATATATAGATAAGATAAATATATAGAAAAGATATATAAAAATTCATATTTTTATATATGATGCATTTGCTTATGAGGACTTATCCCTTTGATTTGGGACCTCAAATCATTTTAGGCTGCAAGTAAGAGATATTTTCATCTAATGTTTGGTTACCACCACATTTTTGGTACCACCATAATCAATTGGAATTCAGGGTTTGAATGTCACCTCTTGCTTAATATTGCAGGTATTTTGTTAGTTTCCTAAGGAAGGTTTCTCTCAAGTTTACTTATATCTTGAACAGTCATAAAGCTTAACTAATTTTTAAGCTGTTACCATCAGTTTTGGAATAGAACTGAAAGTTCAGTACAGGAATCCTGTAATATTATCTTGTTCAAATTCTTCTGGCAAGATAAGGCTATTAGGTAGAAGAAAACCGTTGGTCCTGAACAATCACTCTGCTGTCCTGACTTGAGTTTTTAGAAAATAATTTAAAAATACTGATTGAAATGGAAAACTTTATTAATTTTATAGACTTGATTTGCCAATATAACTATTTCTTTTAAAATTTTGTGTCTTTAGACTGGTGAACACAATCCCCAGCTGCAAAAGATTACTGACATTTTGGATTCTATTAAAGAAAAGGTGAAATAAATTATTATTTGCTAATGGCTAACATCTTCCTTCTTCATACCTGAATTTTCTTATCTTCCTTTAAAGAATTGAACCTTACATGTAGCATATGCTGCCTATTTTGAAACAAGTTTGTAACATACTTGACCAAAAACACAGAAGTAACATTATCATCTGCTAAAAATTATGAAGGGTTTTACATTATCTAAGATAGTCACTAATAAATCTACTTATGCAAAATTAGTTTCTGGCATTGGAGTTTTGCAGAATAAGTCTTTAATTGTAACACTTTTTTTTTTTGGTACTGGGGATCGAACTCGGGACCTTGTGCTTGCGAGGCAGGTGGCAGAACCGCTGAGCTAAATCCCTGGCCCTAATTATAACACATTGTAAAGATCATCTACATAAAAACAAATCTTGTGCATCTCAAACAAACCCACATGATACGGTACTTTCATATTTTTTAGATGAAGGCAGATATTTTTAATACACTAAAGGAAGATACTATATAATTCCATTGTACTTCATCGGATGTAGGTTTTCTTCATGTGTAATGCTATCCCATTGTAATTTGTAGGAATTTTCTTTGTTTTCTCAGGGGAAACAAACTCGATTCACAAATTTTGACCCATTATCTCTCCTTCCCTCATCCTGGGAATACTGGACATATCCTGGTTCTCTGACAGTTCCACCTCTTCTTGAGAGTGTCACATGGATTGTTTTAAAACAGCCTATAAATATCAGCTCTCAACAGGTATGTCTCTTCTTCCGAGTTGATTTTGATTCACTCAGGGGAAACTGAATAGAAGTGTGTGTGTGTGTGTGTGTGTGTGTGTGTTTTGCTAGGGATTGAACCTAAGGCTACACACATGCTAGGCAAGTGCTGAGCTACACCTCCAGCTCTCAAATATTTTTTTGTTTTGTTTTGTTTTGTTTGAGACAGAGTCTGGCTGTGTAGTTCAGGCTGAGATTACAGGCGTGCGTTACCGCACCTGGCTCTCTGGAATCATTTTTTAAAACCTTGTGCAATTTCTGCCATGTTATGAAGCTTGTGCTTTCCCTTCATTAGTCAGGTAGGCAGTTGGATTAGATTATTTTTCTGTGCTTTCTTATTTAACCTTCTGTGATTATTGACCGATTATCTCTGCTTAATTAGAAGATTTCTTTCTCACTTCTTAGAAATGTAATGTACGTAAATATAACCAAGGGAGTGAAACACCATTTGAATGCTGTAATCATTTGCTTTTATTTTCTTTTGTTTGGCTTGAAATATAAGCAGGCTGGAAAATCAGGAGAGAGGTCACCCATAGAAGGTGACATTCTCCCTTCTGATCTCAGTCCCTAGACTGCTTCTTGAGGTGAACTTTGAGAACAGTAATAAGTGTAGTACGTTCAGAAACATGTGTGCCTGCTAAGTTTAAGATGCCACAGTGTGCATTTAAAAATTCAAGAGAGTAGATGTCATGTTGCTTTCAAAATTGTTTTTTGACTTTGGTTGGCAGAACTTTTGTAAGGGCTGCCTGAGGGGCTTTTAAGCATTTGCTAAGAGTCTCTGGGGGTGCCCACCTGTGCCCATCTTGTGAAGACATTTACTCAATTATTCTTCTTTAATTAATTTTTTGCAGTGCTATGGATTAAAGCCTGGGTCTTGTGCATGCTAGTCAAGAACTTGATCACTGAGCTACATCCCCAGCCCTTCAATTTTTCTGTTGATTGCTTGCTGAGCACCATAGTAGGTCAAGCAGTCTGTCAAACTTAGGGTGTCTTTAGCACCCAGAAACTCTACTTGAAGCTCTGAATTATGTGACTGGCTTATGTGTTCTGTTTGCTGTGATCCTTCATGCATTTCATGTGTGGTTTTGCTGTTCTTAAATTAAGTGCTGCAGTATCTTGCGAGGAAGGCAGCGGAACCACTGAGCTAAATCCCCGGCAGTGCTGCAGTATCTTAACAGTAACATAGTTTAATAATTTTTGCAACTAATAAAGTACTCCTTCCTGCTCCCAATCAGACAAAGACTGGTTCACCTTTACCAAGATCATTTCAGGCAACAATTCTCCTTGGGGTGAACACATTGGCTTTCTGTTGGGCGTTTCTTTCCTTTGGCCATAACTTTAGGATTACAGGTGGATTTCAAATTGCTCTTATTACAATGTTCTATGAAAGTCTGGGTAGAATCTAGAGCTTTACTGACATTAAAACTCCTGTGTTTTTTTTCCATCATTGTATCATGAGAAAAATGACCTGCCTCGGCTTCGGTGGCTTATGAATAGAGCTTATTTTTCTCTCTTCACAAGCTAAACTTTTTACTTTTACATTTCTTTATTAAAATCAAAGAGATTAGTAATAAATATTAATTACATCAGAGTAGTTAGTAATAAGGAAATGATGTTTGTCCTCCTATTTCAAGGGTGTCTTTATTCCTTAAAGCCACTTGGAAAATAACTGTTTTTGTTGTTGTATTTTTCATTCAATCCTCTAGTGATTTGGAAGAGAATATGTCAAAATGTATTATTTAATTTTTTAAAAAGAATAAAATAAACTTTATTAATAATACCTCCTTGCAAGCTTAGGAATTATAAGCAACCTAGCTTTGAATTCATTACTGTGTGTATTTTTTAAAATTAATTTTATTGATACATTTTAGGTGTACAATATAATGACATTCATCATTGGAAATTTGCACCTTTACATAATCTCTCTTAGTTCTTATGTTTCCCCACCCATTCCCCTGCCCTCCCTTCAACCCATCTATCCCTTGCTATTTACAAACACTTTTTTTCATTTTTTCATTTTCTCATATTAATTCCATTCCCTTCTTTCCTTTCCCCTACCCCACCTACTTCCCCTTCCTCTTTGGCCCTTTTCTTCCTATTCCACATTATATATTATACCTTTTAGTGCTTATTTACACTTTCAGTTTCTCACACTAGAGAAACTATTTGGTATTTACACATGTTTGTCTTACTTATTTCACTTAAGAGTATCACCTCAATGTGAATCCATTTAGCCATAAATGTCTCAAATTTCTCATTTTTTATGGCTGAGTAGTACTCCATTTTATAAAAAAGCCACATTTTCTTTCTCCAGTCTCCAGTTGATGGGCATTTGGGCTG